AACAACCACTATACAACGAAAGGAGACTGCGACCACACAAAAGGCCACACCATCTTGGTCTTCATACATGTGCAATCCATTGCCTAAATTATCAAATGAGTGACATGTACTACTAACCAAGATTCAATGTTAATTACGACTTGCTTTTACTTCATATTAGTCTAATTGTATTCGTTTTGCGCATGTATTTGTATAATAAAAACTGGATAAATCATACATGTTTTACCAGCTTATTTGTTCGTTGTTTTCACATTCGCTTCCTATCAATGCAAACTCGAATGGCAAAACGAACTATACCATATTAATTCGTTACAATTGCAATTAGCAATTATTCGCAAAATTTACATTTAGCCAATAGCCAAATGGCTTTAGAAAAATCTTAGAAAATACCTTTTTAGCGCCTAATAGCTGGCAGTACATCTGGAGTTCGATCACAATTGGACTCCACCAGTGCCTTTAGAATTATTCTTTTTCCTCAGTAAAATGTTTTTTTAGCTGAATTCGACAATTTTTTTTATTCTGTTTTTATTTTATTTTATTAAGCTTATTTAAAGCCATTGCTGTCGACTTAGAGCCAAACTGTGGAGTTCATAGACGTCTCGAGTTGGAGTCAACCTGCGCGAACATACTTATTAAGGGTTCTCCAAACGATAATGGTTATCTCAACAACTTCATGTCAGCCAGACTGTCAGGCTCTCTTTCCTCCCATTCAGAACATGAGGGAGCCGAGGAAGGCGAACGAATATTCTTGGAGTCTGCTAAGTCATGCGAAGATTCTTTGATGTCAACCGACCTGGTGGCTCGGGTTCGTAGCCACTTGGCTTACCAAATAGCGCATCTGGTAGACCTCGAAGGCCGTGGACTGGTACATGCGGCTGCAGTGGGCGGTAGTCTCGATTGCCTCCGCTTGGTTCTCGTTGCCGCCGGTGCTATTCCATTAATCAGGTCTGGGTGTCGCTTGAAGAGATTGGTATCAATGGCCGACTCTGTATCCGCCTCCGATTCCAGAGGCCGACAACCACTCCATCTGGCAGCTGCTTCATGCGCCCTAGCCACCTCAAAGACTTCCATTGATGAAAGCTCAAGCAATTCGGCTGTTTCACGTCCTATATATTCCGGAATACCTGAGGATTCCTGCGATCCATTCGCTGCTTCTGGAAACGGAAATACGGAATCTTATTTTCGGCACAGCCGACTCACCACCCTTCCCCGACACTTTACTTCAAAGACGGTTACATCAAGAAATGATCTTCTCTCTGGATCCCCACCGCTTGCTTCTTTTGTATCCCCTTCCCCTTTCTTCTCAAACTCATCAGCCTCATCTTCATTCTGCAATACATCAGGCACAAATCATATGTCTACGTCAGGGGGGTATGGTCGCGTGAATGCGATCGATACGGCCCTTAACATGTCGTTGGCCCTGATAAAGGTAATCTTTTTACTTTCAATTGTCTTTGGTCTTTTGTATCAATATATTTCGAAATCCAAAAGATTTTCTTTAAACTAACCACCTATATACAACAGTATATAAAGAGTACATAAAGCTAAACAAACAAAAGCCTTACTGACACGGGATAATGATTTTTTTATTCCTTTATTATATCCTAATTCCAAGAAGATTTTTTAAGCTGATTTGGTTGTGTAAGTGCTCCTGTAATTGAGTCCATAACTGCTTTTACATTATTCCACATAAGCACTAAACCTTGTCACAGCCTGATCTAGAAAGAGGGTCTGAAATTTCTGTAAAATAAGGAACTACTGACAAAAGTGTTAATTTCTCTTTATACATTGTTTTTATGCTCCACTTCCTCGGTGGATCACCCAACTTCTTTCGCAGGCTGATAGGAAGGCAAAATCAGGAAACGAATTGAATAGTCCAATTGTCTATCCCGCCCCAGATAGCAAACTCCCCTCATCTCTTTGTGAAAATTTGCATGTACTGGCGTACCTTTCATTTACTTTGAGAAGGCGGGTCGAAGCAATTCGTAGATTGGTTGCACTGAATACGTCAAGAGGGTTTCCTTGGGCTTTTGTCTGTCGTACTGTGCGAAGAAAACCTCGGCTCACCGTTCTATAACCCTGATGAACCCGTCCTGAGCTTTTGTCCGTCATGTGACGGACATCGTCATGGCCAGAAGCTATTATTCGCGAAAAAAATCACCCAAAAAACTAAACCGAGAAAGGTGGACAGCTGAGATCCTACTTATTAACCATCAATTTGCAATCTTAATGTGACATTCCATGATTTGGTTGGCTGATTTATATTCGTCTTACATGCATGTAAGTGGATCAAAGTGATGCAGACAGGGGAGTGGATGTGGTCACAACTTTCGTCTATGTAAATAAATTAGAGTATGATCCATAGTC